CATCCCTGGGCCACCCCTCCACCAGGAATGCTCTGAACCCAGCTCCCATCCTATGTCAGACCCACACATGATGCTGGATGAGCTTCAGGCAGAAATGACAGGACAGAAGCCTATTCTCAAGAAAAGCCAGTGGGCACAATGCCCTCCCCAGGCCCTACCTGTGCCAGGTAGAGAGTGGAACTTCCTAGAAGTGCATGGCAAAGGCTGGGAAACTGCAGAGGGCAGAGCAGTCCTGGCTTCCATGTCTGTGTTGAGACAGGTGCTGTCCTCAGGGTCTGCTTAAGAGAGAAGCCCAGAGCTCAGCAGACCCCACACTTGGTGGAGTCACTGTTCCCAGAAGACTGCTATTTCCTCTGCTCTATCTCAAGGCCCCTAAGTCCCTTTCTCGAGCTCTGCTTTTCTTCCCAGGCCTTTAGCAGGTCCTCTCCTTAAAGGATGAGCCAGTGAGGTTGGCAGCCCCAAACTTCTCTGCTTTCCAGAATCCCACAGCACTGGCCTTACTGACCCAATTCCAGAGGCCCATTGGGGGCCAACCCTTCCAGGCAGTTAATAAACACTTACCAGGAACTCCTCATGTGTCAGCATCTAGATCCCTTAAGTCCTAGACACTGCAAAGTGCACTACCCTGGACGACACAGCACCACGGGGGCCTCAGAAGCTCACCCAACACCAAGCAAAGTCAGGAGAGGAACTTTCAGAAGCCTCCAGGCCTTCTCTATCCCTAAGACCTGTATTCTCACCTGTAACTGTGTCAGGAAAAGTCACAGGCTCAGCCTGTTGCTGTTCCCTCTCCAGATGAGAAAGTTGAGGGCCCTTCCACCCCCTGCCAATTCCAGGCCATTCCAGCCTCCCAAATGCCCATGTGCCTGAGTCATCAAGCCAATGCCTACCTGGTGGACTCAATGGGAACACATAAGTGCAACACAGTTTTTCTTCAGGGGAGATCATCGGAGGACATGAAGCCAAACCCCACTCCCGCCCTTACATGGCCTATCTTCGCATTAAAGATGACACGGAGTCTATGTGTGGCGGTGTCCTTGTGCGAAAGAACTATATTCTGACAGCTGCTCACTGCAAAGGAAGGTAAGGGACCGCAGCCAGGCTACACCTCCTGAGACCCCTACAGGGTCCCTGCCCTTCATCCCAGGAGCTGCAGCCCAGGGCAGCTCCCCAGGCTCCTGGTAACTCAAGCCCATGAGACCTCATCAGAGGAGCCATCAGAGATCATGACAGAGCAATGAGAGGCTGGGAAATAGGATAAGTAATCTCTGGGCTCAGAGGGTCAGAGGTGACAATAAGTAACACAGGAAGAGGAGGACACAGCAAATAAAGCAGCGGTGGACCGTGAACACATGCATTATGGTCAAAATGAAAATGCAAGCAATTCATGGCATTTCCTGAGGGCCCGAGAAAGCTCCCAGCTCCCTAACCTCAGTGTCATTGAGAAGTAGAGTCACTCAGCCCCTTTCCCCTGTTGCCTCGATTTTCCCAGTCTGAAGCCCTGCCCTGCCCCACCTATGACCTGCTCTTCACAGCTCCTGAGCTATATCTCTTGTGATTCTACCTCCCCACCACTCACCCAATCTGCTGTCTGTGCAGGTTAATCAATGTCACCCTGGGGGCCCACAACATTGAAAAGAAGGAGAATACCCAGCAGGTCATTCTGGTAAAAAGAGCCATCCCCCACCCAGACTATAATCATAAGAACTTCTCCAACGACATCATGTTACTACAGGTAAGGAAACCTCCTGCTGCTCTTGCTCTCATGAGCCCACATCGTTCCCCTCCAACCAAATGAAGCACTTCCCTTCCTTCCTTCCCATCCCGGCCACCTGACCAGTCCCTGAGACTGAGGTGTCCCTCAGTGTCCTGGCTCAGAGACCACTGGCTGACCTGGGCTCCCTTACCTCTTCCCCATCAGCTGGAGAGAAACATCGAGCAAACTGGTGCTGTGAAACCCCTCCAACTGCCCAGGCGCAAGAACAGGTTGAGACCTGGACAGAAGTGCACTGTGGCCGGCTGGGGGAAGGTCACCCGATGGGGCAAATACTCAAACACTCTGCAGGAGGTACAGCTGACCTTGCAGAAGGATGAGGAGTGTGAAGGCTACTTACGACGTTATTACAACAGGACCATTCAACTGTGTGGGGGGGACCCAACAGAAAATAAGGCTTCCTTCCAGGTGATACTGAGCATCTGACTACTTTGGCTCTAGGAGAGGGGTATTTGGGTAGGAACTGGGAGCTGGGGACCCAGGCAGCAGGAGACTACTTCACCCTCTAGTCTGTGATCTTTCTTCCAGGGAAGAAAAGAGGGGAGCCCCCAGAGCTGGGAGAAATGGGGTCTCTGAGAGCCTTAAAAGGGCCTATAGTTACTCCAAAAACTGTGCTCCTCCAGAGGGTGAATGTGCAACACTGTGGCCAAGGCCAGGGCATAGCGCTTAGATAACCGTTTCCTGGGTGAGCAGTAGTTGTACCTGAGGGTTCTCAGAACTGGTTAATGGGCTCCTTCTCCACGCTAAGTGTCAGCCCCATCTGTCTGCTCTCATGTCCTTACACTATAGGCTGCAGTCACACTCCACAGCACCTTCATAGACAAAGGATTAGGGACCTGGGGGAGCAAAAGGAGCTTCCACCTGGGGTGAAGTGAAGCAGTGACAGTGTCCAGGCTGAGGGGCCCATGGGGACCTGCCTGCTCACTTATCTCCCAAGTGAACACCATGCAAGGCAGCCTTCTCTGAGAGGGGCATGGAGTGGCAAGGAGGGCAGGGCCAGGAGAATTGGTTCAGATCTTCCCTCTGTCTGTCCACAGGGGGACTCCGGAGGGCCTCTCCTGTGTAAAAATGAGATCCAGGGCATTGTCTCCTATGGACACAATGATGGGACAACGCCACGGGCCTTCACCAAAGTCGCCAGCTATCTTACCTGGATAAAGAAAACCATGAAAAGCCTCCAACTGCAGGACACAGACCACCTTCTCTGATGCTAATCCAGGACCACAATGCGGGGAGGGAGGGGGTGCCAGCAACCAAATAAATGACTCTTAGCTGATGGGAAGAGCTGGGTTTTTGTTTATTCTTTGTCCCTCATGTGCTCAGAAGGCAATGGCACAATTCTGCTGTGTCCTGCTTCCCCCTCTTCCCCCTCTCCCATCACCTCCTTAAAGCCATGCAAAGCTGTTACCAGCTCCTTCTTGGCCACACCTGCCTGCCCTTCTGCCAGGGCAGAGAGGAGCACCATTAGAAGAAAACATGAATCTCTCAGGTCCTGGGCTCCGTGAGAAGGTCTTCTTCTGTGTTATGAGCTGAAAGGAAAGGATTAACACCCTGGGTGCTGGGCACCAAGCAGGCACAGCCTGGGCTGCAGTGCAGGAGGCCCAACCACACTGGGGAGAGGAGGGCCTTCCTGAGCAGGACATTGTTCTCCAACAACCAGGGAGTGGCAGGGGTGGGGTCTGGGGGCTGGTGAGGAGAGACAGGGGTGGAGGAGGGAGGGAAGTCCTGAGAAGCTCCTCATTCCCTCCTGGGCTGAATTTCTCTCCCTGCCCTTTTCTGCCCTCGTTTGAGCTCAGGGCCTAGCTTGGCCTCCAGTGTCCTGGCTACCCCTTCTCATCCCTGCTAACCACTGAGCATCCTCAGAGTCCACCAACCCTGCGCCCCACAGACCACACTGGTCTGAGCTCCCACTTATGCATCTCCCTCCCACCTAGGACACCCAGAGTGCCCACCTTCCAGCAGGGCCTGGTCACTGAGTTGCCACCCAGCTTATGCCCAGACACAGGGTGACCGGGGGACCAGGACTGTGTTGGCCCCATGCAGGGCCCTGGAGGACAGGGCAGCAGGGTGTCTGCAGAACAACTGGCCCCATCTCTCACTGGGCAGAGCCAGCTCCACCCTCACATCCAGCCCAGTGTCCCCACCATGTGCTCAGAGTCCATTGACTGCTGGTCACTCAGGAGCCTTAGTCCCCTGCAGCCTGTTCCTCACTGCTGGCCTCAAGGCTCAGGCTGCGTGCTCGCCACCATGGGCTCTACCTACCTTTTGAGTTAGAAAGAGCTGCTCTCTGCAGTAAGACTGGAAAACACAGCTTTTTCATCAATCAATGAACAAATGCTGATTGTGCACCTACTAAGTGCCAGGCATTGAGAGTGTACAGTGAACATAATACAGGTTCTGACACCTGAACACAAGTGAAACTGACAATGTTGACTTTTATCTGAATGTAATTTCCTCTTCCTCCTTCACATGAACCCACATTGCCCAAGATCTTGATAACACCGCAGTGTGACGCACTCAGAGGGGGCCGTGGGTGATAAAGGCCAGAGAACCTTGGGCTCAGAAGACCAGGAGGAAGCACCAGCAGCTCTGTCGTGGGCAGCATCCTGAGGAGATGCACCCACTTCTGCTCCTGATGACATTTCTTCTGGCTCCCAAGGCACAGGCAGGTGAGTGACTGACCCCCAGCCGAAGCCCAATGCCATTCGGTATGGGCACAGCTCTGCTCACATGCTACACTCAGACAAGTCTGGCCCTGGTCCATCCTCAGGCGCTTTTTCTTTCTTTTCTTTTTTTTTAATAAATATATTTTATTGATATTTTACAGAGAGGAAGGGAGAGGAATAGAGAGTTAGAAGCATCAATGAGAGAGAAACATCGATCAGCTGCCTCCTGC